GCATCCTGTGACGTCTCTCGGGTGGCCGACTTTCAGATGAGCTCGGCGAAGACGAAGCGTGCGCCGCGCCGAAGCAGCACTGCCACTTTCGCGCGCGACTTCCGCGGCGTAGGGGAGAGACAGCACATCGCCCGCCCTCGTGCGGCTCCGCTGCCGCTCCGCTTCCATGCGATTCGGTGATCCAAAACATGGACCGCGCTCGAGGAGGAGGAGGAGGAGGAGGAGGAGGAGGAGGAGGAGGAGGAGGAGGAGGAGGAGGAGGAGGGGGACGAGGAGGAGGAGGAGGAGGAGGAGGGGGACGAGGAGGAGGAGGAGGAGGAGGAGGAGGAGGAGGAGGAGGGAGCAAGCAGACATCTGCACGGAGCCTGGGCGATGCCGAGCACGTCGCCCAGCACGCGCGCGGCCCCGACCCAGCGACTCGGCACCTGAAAAATACAGTCGGGGCCCTGAAGAAGGAACCCTTTTGGTTGGGGAGGGGCTCCGCGTTCCTTGAGTGTTTCACAGCTTGCCTCAGGTTTTCCTTCTGTTTTCGATCGGAAATCGAAGTTTAACTTATGGAAAAAAGGGGCCTCGTTCCTTATTCAGGGTTCCTTAGGTCAACGCCCCCACTGTATGTGCTGCGCCGAGGCGGGAGCGCCGCTTCGAGGCACAATCTCTGCGGCGCCACGGCGAGACCGACGGTTGTCGCCCGCTCGCGCGCGACCGCTGGCGGCGATTTGGCTTGCAACAAATCGGCGCCGCGCCCCAGCGGGAGTTCCTTTCTCAGACAAGGTGGGCGCGGCGCCGCGGCGAGAAGGACAGTTCGCCCTTTCGCGCGGGCTGTGCGCCACGTCCCATTCTTACCGTGCGTTGTGCAACGTCGATGACAGAGCGTCCAGGTCGAACAGCAAAATTCAGAATTGCTTATTTCAAAGGTCGGCTCGGAGAGCGTGGATGGGTTCGCTATGGGTCGGCTAGGTAGCAGAGTGGGAGTATGCGTCAACGAACAAAGATAAGGAGCAGGTATGAAGATAAGGAGCAGGAGGATGATTAGCAATACGGCAAAGGGTAAAACAGGAGGAGGAGGACGAGGAGGAGGATGACGAGGATGATGATGATGATGATGATGATGATGATGATGATGATGATGATGATGATGATGATGATGATGATGATGATGATGATGATGATGATGATGACGAGGAACAAGGGGGAGAAGAAGGACGAGGAATACAAGGACGGGGGCGAGTACGTCTGCAGTCCGAGTGATTTTTCCCTGCAGCCGCAGATGCCAAACACGCAGTCGCTCATCAGCCCCAGTGCCCAGGGGGGGGCGGCCCCCCCCCCGCACACAAGAGGAACGGCGACACCCAGCCCGCTCTCCACTGGCGACTGTCCCACGACGGCAACTGCGACGGCGACGGTGACCACTCCTTCCGAGTGAATCAATCAGGTTATTGGCATGCAGCTTCAGCAGGTACTTGGTTCAGTGCCCCTTGTGGCCCTGGATATGCATCGTTCACATCATCGTAAGTTCGTTGCCAGACTGAACTGACCCATGGCGTTGGCCACGGGGAAATTGGAGCTTGATGTATTACAGCCACGATATTGCCACGGAGCCTCGAATGGGATCGAAGTGATCGTGAAACAGCGCCCCCATGCAAGAGCAAGCTTTCGGCCTGGGGGCGCAGGGCATACAACTCCCGCAGCTCTGGGCCACTTCCCGGGGGCCGGTTTGTCGTCCCGGCCAGTTTTCGCACGGTCCCAGGGCCCAGCGAGGGCCTCTGGACGCCCACGGCGACGAGCAACCTCGGCCCTGCTTGTTTTCAAGATGTGCTGGAGGCCTGGGTCGGCGCCCTCGAGCACGCCTTCCAGGGAGAAGTGCGCGCCGCCGGAGAATTCCCTCCGGGCTCTCCGCCAGCCCCAGGGCGCCGGGGCCCGCGCTCCAGCGGCCTGGAGCGCGTGCCGACCTCGGCATATCCGATGGTCACCACCCACCAAACCACCCCAACCCAACCCGAAGGCCCAAATTTACCCTCGATTTCCAGTGGGGGGGGGTCGGGAAACGTCGAAAAAACACGTGTGGAACCCTTACCCCCCCCAACCCGAAATTCGGGTCTTCGGGTTGGGTTGGGGTGGTCTGGTAGGTAGTCAGTGCCGACCTCGGCATATCCGATGGCACGGCGGCCCGCGGGGCCCCGCGGCCACGGTGCTGCTCGCTGCCGCCTCTGCGGACCGCCGCCGAGGCCGTGCTCGTCGCGCTCCCGCGCGCCACGCGCGCGGGCGCTGTCGGAAGCGGCCCCGGCCCCAGGTGCCCCGTGGTGGCTGCTGTGCAGAGTCCAGCCTCGCCTTCTGCCTCGCCGCTCTTTCTGGTGTACCTCTGAATGCCGTCTTTCGCGTCGACTCGCGTCGGTTAGCGTTTGGAGTCGATGAGATAGCGCAGATGTAGCGTCGGCTAGCGTCGAAGAGCGTCCAGCTGGCGTCGCTTAGCGCCGATTTGGCGTCGATGAGCGTCGATTCGCAAGAGCCGACCAAGACGGCATGGGAGGCTCCCATGAGGTGCCACAGAGCGCTCTCCCCCCCGCTGTCCTGCCGCCGGTTTCCGGCTCGCGGGGGCCCTCGGCGGCTACGTGGCGCGCTGGGAGCGCCGAGCCCTGGGCGCGCGCGAGAGACGAGAGAACGCGGCCTCTTTCGCTGCGTGTTCCGCTCCCGCTTGCATCGCTGCATCCCTCGCTCTCTCGCGAGTTACCACAGTGTTGTGGAGGACGATCAATGGAGAGGAAGCATGTTGCCAGACAGTTTCCATATGCCCAAAACACATGTGTTCAACATGTTTTAAACATGTAAAAAACATGCTTAAAACATGTTGAGAACATGTGCCCGACATTTGAAACACATGGTAAATTCAATGATCGGACTGTTAGGGTGTCCATTGTCGTGCCATCCACAGCCATCGTGATGTCTACATACACAATTGGTCACTCCATGCCGGATCACTCTGGAGCCCCCCTCGGGGCCCTCTGGACCTCGTGAGGGTTTTCCTGCAGAGGCGCCGGGGGGCCTCCTCGGAGCGCCTCCCGAGGGCCCTGGGGGCACGGGCACTTGCGGCAGCGCCCGACGGAGTGCGGCGAGCCGTGCGGCCGGAGGCAGAGCTCTTCGGGCAGGCGTGCGTTCTTCGGGTCGCGGCGGCAGTCGCGCTTCGCCGGGTGCAGGAGGAGGCCGGGGGCGGGCCGCAGCAGAGCGCGCCACGGGGCGTCCTCCCGCCGCCGGGGCTCGCGAGCGAACGCCGCGGGCTGCGGGAGCTGCGCGGGGTGCGGGGGCAGATCGTGCAGCGCGCCAGGCTCGAGGCGCGAACTTGCGATCAGTGGAGGGCCTCGGGCCGAAACTCGCGGTGCACGCTGCGACATGTGCGTGCGACGGTTCTCCTACGCATGCAGGGTCGTATCCTCCCTCTTCCCCCACCCCTTCCCTCCGCATCCCTTTTTCTTCCCTCCCTCCCTCCCTCCCCTCCCTTCCCACGCCTCCCTTCCCCCCTCTCCTGATGCACCACCCTGCTCGGCAGGACTCGGCTGACGGATGCCTCTCCGGCAGCCACCTCTACGCCAACTGCTCCGTTGCCGTCGAGGTGCACTCGCAGGCGGACCCTGTCATCGAGGACAACAGCATCTGCGACGGCCAGCAGGGAGGCATCTTCGTGCACGGCGGCGGCCGAGGCCACGTCCGCCGCAACAAAATCTTCCAGAATGCGCTGGAGGGCGTGGAGGTCGGGCAAGGGGGCAGCCCCCTGGTGGAGGACAACGACATCTACGACAACCTCGAGTGCGGCGTGTTCATCCACGACGGCGGCGAGGGGAGGGTCACCTCGAAGCAGAAGCTGCAGAAAACACAAGCCTTCGGAGTTCTGCGCGTATTCCTTGGATCGGCTCCTGGGCCCCCTCTGGCGGCGCCCCCAGCGCGCTCCGCGCGCCTTGGAGGGCTGGCCCAGGCGCCGATCCAAGAAATTCGCACGGAACTCATGAAGTCTGTGTTTTTGCCGCTTCTTGTTCCCGTAGGTCATCGGCAACCGCATCCACTCGAACGCCTTCGCTGGCATCGAGATCAAGGACGCCTCTCCCCCGGAGGTCCGCGACAACGACGTGTACGGCGGCCGCACGTCGGGCGTCTACGTCCACGGCGGAGGCAGCGGCACCATCGAGGGCAACCGCATCCACCAGAACGTGATGCACGGCGTCTACGTGCGCGATCGGGGATGTCCTCACCTCTTCAAGGTTCGCCCGCCGGAGCGGCCCGCGGCTGCCTGGATTAAGGGGAACGAAGAATGACATAAACATAACAACTCGGAGGTCCGCGCGGACTTCCGAGTTTTTATGTTTATGTCATTCTTCGTTCCCCTATGGATGCTTCCCGGCTTTTCACCGTCCTGCTGCTGCTGCTGCTCCTTTGCCTTGTCTCGGAGAGCTCTAAACAGTACACCACCAGCCCTGGCCAGTTCCATGCTGCTTATAGAGCCCGGAGGGTAGGCCTACCCTAGGCTTACCCCTCGGCCTACCCTCTTGGCCTACCCTAGGCCTACCCTAGGCCTACCCCTAGGCATACCCCGTAGGCCTACCCTAGACCTACCCCTAGGCCTTCCTCCTAGGCCTAACCTAGGCCTACCCCCAGGCCTACCCCCTAGGCTTACCCTAGGCCTACCCCTAGGCCTACCCTAGGCCTACCCCTAGGCCTTCCCTCCTAGGCCTCCTCTAGGCCTACCCCTAGGCCTTCCCCCTAGGCCTACCCTAGGGCTATCCCTGGGACTACCCCTAGGGCTACCCTAGGCCTACCCCTAGGCCTTTCCCCTACTAGGCCGTTTCCCTAGGAACACCCTAGGCTTACCCTCCTAGGCCGCTCGCCCGACCCGACCCGCCCGTTATGGTCCAACCCGTCCCGACCCGAGCCACCCGTTAGGGTCCGCCCGACCCGACCCGAGCCGCCCGTTAGGGTCCGCCCGACCCGACCCGTCCCGTCCCGACCCGACCCTTCAGGGTTCTCGCGTGTCCATTCGCACATGAGTCATACTTCAATGTCCCGCTCGCCCGACCCGACCCGCGCGTTAGTTTCCGACCCGACCCGACCCGAGCCGCCCGTTAGGGTCCGCCCGTCCCGACCCGACCCGACCCGTTAAGGTTCTCGCGTGTTCGCTCGTTGATGCATCATGCTTCAATGGCCCGCCCGCCCGACCCGACCCGCCCGTTAGGTTCCGCCCAACCCTGCAAGACCCACCCGTTAGGGTTCTCGCGTGTCCCTTCAGTGCTGCATCATACTTTAATGTCCCGCCCTCCCGACACGACCCGTTCCTTGGGGTCCCGCCGACTGGACCCGACCCGCCCGTTAGGGTCCGCCCGACCCGTCCCGACACGACCCGTGAGGGTTCTCGCGTGTCCACTCGATGACGCATCATACTTCATGTCCCGCCCGCCCGACCTGACCCGCCCGTTAGGGACCTCCCGACCCGACCCGACCCGCCCGTTAGGGTCCGCCCGACCCGACCCGTCCCGTCCCGAGCCGATCCGTTAGGGTTCTCGCGTGTCCACACGCACATGCATCATATTTTCATGTCCCGCCCGACCCAACCCGACCCGCCCGTTAGGGTCCGCCCGCCCCGACCCGACCCGCCCGTTCGAGTCCGCTCGTCCGGACCCGTCCCGTCCCGAGCCGACCAGTTAGGGTTCGCACATGCATCGTACTTTAGTGTTCCGCCCGCCCGCCCCGACCCGCCCGTTAGGGTTCGACCCGACCCGACCCGACCCGCCCGTTAGGGTCTGCCCGACCCGACCCGTCCCGACCCGACCTGATCCGTTAGGGTTCTCGCGTGTCCACTCGCACATGCGTCGTAGTTTCATGTCCCGCCGACCCGCTCCGACCCGCCCGTTAGGGTCCGGCCAGACCTGACCCGATCCGCCCGTTAAGGCCCGACCCGACCCGACCCGACCCGCCCGTTAGGGTCCGACCCGACCCGACCCGCCCGTTAGGGTCCGCCCGACCCGACCCGTCCCGTCCCGTCCCGACCCGACCCGTGAGGGTTCTCGCGTGTCCACTCGCACATGCGTCATACTTTAATGTCCTGCCCGCCCGACCCGTCTCGCCTGTTAGGGCCCGACCCGACCCGACCCGGCCCGTCCGTTAGGGTCCGCCCGACCCGGCCCGCGACCCGCCCGTTAGGGTCCGCCCGACCTGACCCGTTCCGTCCCGACCCGACCTGTTAGAGTTCGCGCGTGTCCGTTCGCACATGTTTTATACTTTCATGTCCCGCTGACCCGACCCGACCCGCCCGTTAGGGTCCTGCCTGACCCGACCTGACCCGCCCGTTAGAGTCCGGTCGACCCGACTGTCTCGTCCCGACCCGCACATGCATCATACTTTAATGTCCCGCCCGCCCGACCCGACCCGCCCGTTGGGGTCCGACCTGTCCCGCCCCGACCCGCCCGTTAGGGTCCGCCCGACTGGACCCGTCCCGTCCCGACCCGACCCGTTAGGGTTCTCGCGTGTCCACTCGCACATGCGTTATACTTTAATGTCCCGCCGACCCGACCCGACCCGCCCATTAGGGTCCGACCCGTGTCGACCCCTTCTCTGCATTCCTTCTCCTCATCCTCGTTATCCTGACTTTTCATCCTCTTTCCTCCTCGTCCTCAACCTTTTCCCTTCTCTACTCTGTTTACCCTTTTCTCTCCTCCTACGCACCGTTTCCCCTGACTCCCTCTTTTCACCACTCCTCCTTACTCACTCCTCACTATCCCTTTCCTCCCGTCATCCTCAGTTCTCATTCTCATTTTTCCTGGAGCTCACCCTCTCCCTTCTCTCTCCTGCTCTGCGTTTATCCTCCTCGCTCCTCCTTCGCCCTTCTTCTCCTCACTTCTCCTTTCACTCCTCCTCTAGATTCACTCCTCACTCTACCTCTGCACTTCTTTTCCTCCTCATCCTCAGTCCTCCTTGTCACTATTCCCTCCCCTCGTGAAGCGGAGGATTGAATCGATCCCCACTGCCAATGTTGGATGTGCGTGAGAACGATTTCTGGGAGTTGCTGATCATACCCAGGCTGTGACGCCGTTGGGGTTGGCATTTCCTAGGCCTACCCCGAGCCTGACCCCCTAGGTCTACCCTAGGCTTACTCCTGGGCCTACCCCCTAGGCCTACCCTCGGCCTACCCAAGGCCTACCCCCAAGCCTTGCACCTAGGCCTACGCTAGGCCTATCTCTAGGCCTATCCATAGGCCTACCCCCTAGGCCTACCCCTAGGCCTACCCCTAGGCCTTCTCCTAGGCCTTCCCCTAGGTCTAGCCCCTAAGCCTACCCTAGGCCTACCCCTGGGGCTTCCCCCTAGGCCTACCCTAGGCCTACCCCTAGGGTGCCCCTAGGCCTACCCTGGGCCTACCTCTAGGCCTTGGCTAGGGCCTACCCCTAGGCTGCCCCAGAGCCTTGGGTAGGGCCTAGGCTAGGCTAGCCCCCTCGGTTTCTATACCCCATGCTGGGCCCTCGACTGATGTACAGGGCCCCGGATGGGCCTGGCCAGGGCTGGCGGTGGTGTATTGTTTGGAACTCTCATATTCTCGCCCGTCTGTTCACCCTCCTGGAGAGAGAGAGAGAGAGAGAGAGATAGAGAGAGAGAGAGAGAGATCACTGGCGCATGCCCAGTATCAGGGGAGGGAAACTTGGCTACCATCCGTGGCGCTGGGGCGTCACCCCTGACAGCTGGTAGCGCCTCCACTACAGTTGAGGGCGTCGAGTCGAGACGCTCCTCTATAGGGACAGCTTCTGGCGCCCGCTTACTCCGCAGGAGCGAGACAGATGTCCCACGACAAGTCCATTCAGCGGACACGAGGCCCTGGGTTTCTTATCCAAGGATTCCTTGTCCAACGCTCCCACCGTCTCCCTTGTCTTCTCTCCTCTCCCCGTCCTGCTCCTCCTCACCCTCCTTCTCCTTCTTTTCGCTCCTCCTTCTCCTCCTCCTCCTCCTCCTCCTCCTTCTCCTCCTCCTCCTCCTCCTCCTCCTCCTCCTCCTCCTCCTACCCCCCTCGTCACGTAAGGACAGCGTAAGCAGAGGTCTCCCCTGTTTCTCTGGGATGTCCGTGGCAGTGCGCTGTCGTCTTCTGCGGCGCTCAGCACGGCCCCCTGGGAGTGCGTGAGGCTCCGCGTGCCCCCCTGAACCGACCCGCCCTCTGCACGAGCGCCGCTGGGAGTGCCTCGTGTGCGGCTCGGCGCCAGCACCCGGAGGCGAGCGGACGGCCGTCCGCTGGCTGGCACAGCCGCGCCCAGGGCCAGCTGCCCTTCGCTCCCCCACCGCGTGCTCCGAGGACGGGTCGTCGGGTGCGGGGGCAGAGCGGCAACGGATCCTGCCCAGTGGGGCCTGTGGGCGCTTCGGCTCCGGCCCCCGATGGGGCCGAGGGCACGCTCGAGAGGCAACGCCTCCCTGCCGCCTGCCGCGGAGGGAAACGATACCCCTCGCGGCTGTCTGGAGGACTGCCGCCGAGAGCGTCACGTTGCGCGGCGAAGGGGAGCCTGGACCGATCCACCTAGGCTTGGCATCGAGCGCGTCGCGCACGGAGTTGGACCCCTCCGTTTCCTTCTTTTCTTCTTCCTCCCCCTCCTCTTCCTCCTCCTCCTGCTCATTCGCCCCGCGTCTCCCCGCGCATCCCTGCCCCTCCCCGCACCTCCCCGCGCCATCCCCTGCAGCCAGCGCCTCGAAGGAAAACGCCGCCAACCCAGAAGCTCCTCAACACCAGCACTGGGTCGGCGTCACCCCAACATACTAATAGTATGTGTGCGTCGCCCCCCCAGGGGCGACGCGCGCGCCGAGAAATCTTCTAGTATGAGCTCCGGGGGGGCGCTTTCTGGCCACACAGCTCGGGAAGCGATATACGACAATATGGTAATACTATATGTTCGGGTCGGACGGGGGCCTCCGAGGAGGACACATCGTCCCAACATGTCCTTGTGCGTCCCATTGGGTTTCAGATGCGCCCGCCACAACTGTCTCGTACTCGGGTGTCGCGTCTCTGGCGCTGTCCGTGTGCCTTCCCCGGCACCCCGCTCCTTGCCTTCCCTCTGCCCCTTCTCTCCCAGCCCCCCCCCACTCTCGCCGCCGAGAACAACATCTTCCGTAACGGCGAGTGCGGCGTGTTCGTGACTGAGGGCTCGCATCCTTGCGTGGAGCACAACGATATCATGGCGAATGCGCTGGCTGGTGTCGAGGTGAAGGAGAGGGGGGAGGGGGAGGGGGATCCAGGTTG